TTCCCTTGTCATATCTAGTCGAAAAAAGTTTAAGTGCCGTTACAAACTTATTAAAAAAAAAAGGAGCAGATTGAATATCACAGAAAGGGAAGATTTACGGTTATTCCTTACAAAACTCAAGCCAAATATTGATAATTTGCTGTCAATCCATCAAGTACATCCCTCTCTGGATATTGTAAATGAAGGACCTTCTTATTTCTTATTGCCTGCAGAACTTTTAAGTAGCAACTTTTAGAAATATTTGAATCCTTTCAAAATTAACAGAGTATTGAATATAATAGAACTACTTAGCTATAGGTTTGCTAGTCTAGATCTAAATAAATAGAAAGGAATACCTATTAACCAAATTTTCTATCTTAAAACTTTTCTTTATATAATACTATGTATTTTAATATTTTTTTTTGTATTTATATGAATCTCTTGTGGCATTTCTACGACTATAACTGTTTTTTGGCTGATTTTATGAATAAAGATTCGGATTTGAAGATTAACAGTGTTGGTCAATACCAACACCACATTATTTTCCTAATAAATATTTCAGTGATTCAAACTGTGATGCTTGTTTTAGAACAATATAGAATTAAATCTATCATTTTGTCATTCCAAATTCAAAGAAATATATTTTAATTTAATTCTTGAAATAAACAACTTTTTATATAAAGAAACAAATAAATTTTATTTCCGTAAGAAACAGATTTCAAACAAATACGATTCAAGGAATTCTTTTTCAGAGAGTCCTTGAGAAACACCTGATAAATATATGAACTGCTTTGATTTGATACCATAACAATATAATGTGACCCAAAACACTGACACGGTGACTTTGATAGTGTTTATGTGATTTGCAACTCTTTTATATAGTATTTCGATAGTAAATAAGATAAAAATAAATACTTCTAATTGTATTCATGTATTCTATTGAAATTTATGGTTATTGTTTTCTGATTGGCTTGTTAAAGCTAAGTGGGTGGTGAATAACATCAATCATCAATCTTCCTTCTAAGTCAATTAACGTTAACAAATTTTTAACAAAATTGTGACTAATTAATGTCAATACCTGAAATAACTACTATCGATTGTACGAATAATCTTGTAATTATTTAGAATATTATAATTTTTTTATTATTATTACTCATTAACCAATTAATTTGAATAAATCATCTCATTTCGGAGACTTAAAATTGGTGTATAGTAGTGGGACGAATTCCATGACTCACCGTTTGTTTATAATCATCGTTTATATGTTACAATGCGTTATTTTGCATTAAAAAAATTATAATTATGTGACTACTAGTGTCAGTTAGCCTGTTTGGTTGTAATAAAAGTATTAAAAAGATTTCAAGGTGATAGAATTACCAATATTATTTGATTTGGTATCGAGCGTTTTGTTCTGTCTCAATTTCATTCATGAAAATGATATTTTGTTTACCAGTTAATAGGTTTTAAATAAATTAATTATAGTGTTTCGGTTCGTGATCGGAAGCTGATGACTAAAATGTCCTGGGTAAGTAAACACTAATACCTATAATATTTATAACTTGCAACCTGTCGCTATCATCTCCACATTTTTCAAAATATTTCGACAGACTTGATCGTGGCGTATTATCAAACAAACTGAACAAAATGGGATTTTAATCGATCCCCACACGTCTGTCTGTTTCATTCTAATCTATCAGATAAAAAATAATTTGTTGAATATTGTTATTAACCTTTCCTCTAGGAGAACATGAGGACTAGTGGGTTTATAATATTGGTAGAAGGATATATTTTTAGGTAAATATAATTTGAAGCCCTTTTACATAAGGTAAGTAAAATTCTATTTAAAATAATACACATATTGACATATTTTCTATTTTCTGATTCTGCATATATTTCAAAATACAGTTCATCAAATTTCTAGAGGCTTTCGACGGCTAGACAGAGAAAGCACTACTGACAGGCATCCCGACGGATTTACGCAATGAAAGTACACTCTACGCATCAAGTATTTCACTATTTCATTCAGACGTAAATGTCAGATGTAAATTTCGCTAAAACATTTCTTTTATTTTCGTTTGTGTTTTTTGCTCATTACAGTTTAATAGAACCTAAGTATGGAGTTTAATAGCAAATTAAAAGGCCGCGTGATTAACAGTCAATCTCGCGAAATAATAGCCAATGTTATAGAGTTTATGAGAAGGGAAGGAAACTTTAATTCACCTTCAATACCATTTAAAAATGTAAATGATCGTGTTGCTGCAGCCACAGGAGTATCTAAAAACACTGTCGTCCGCATTTCTGGAGAGAAAAAAAGAATCGATAACCGTGAGATATCAGAATTTTCATCACCAAGAAAAACCATTAAAAAACCAAAAACAGTTAATGATATAGATGAAGCTGCACAAGAATCAAATTTTATTTTTTTATTATTAGATAGCTATTTTTGTTTCTGAGTTGTGTTCATTTACAGGCTCAATTTTTTTCCGTTTCTCCTTTTTGATTTTATATGGGGTTTCAAGTTGTTTTTGACTTATTTCGACGTAAATCACAACAACACACTTTTTTAATAAAGCAAACAAGTGTTAAGAGGTATATGTACGTGTAAACTACAATTACAAAAAATTGATATGAAACCCATGAAACCACCAACAAAAATGTAAAGCTAGCTTCCGTACTAGAACATGGTGTCATTCGTCGAGATAATTTATCGTTTTGTTTAATAGATCAAGAAATGTAAATATTCCCCTGTTATTTTTTATAAAATTATAAGAGAAATAAATTTTTTTTCTAAATAGTATAGTTTATTATTTTGTAGAAAAACAAAATTTCGAAAATTTTAGTAATGTTTCAGAAACAACCGTTATTAATAATAGGTACCATTTTCCTTAATAAGGTAGAAATAAAATATAAACTATTTCCACGATTTACAAAGGCCTACAAAAAAATTATAGGTATTTTCCGCTATCCTATAAAATTTATATTTTCTGACTCAATTTCAAAAGGTTGAAGGAATTCCAAAACACCTTTTATGGCATAATAATTATTTTCAATTCTACATACTATCTTTAGCTGCTTTTAAAAACGTTCTAAGAAAGTCTAATCAGACCAATTTAATCCCTAAACTATTCCACCCTTTTAAAATTTAATTACCTAAAAATATTAAAAACCATTTAAAATAACTTGTTTAGCAGACTGTACAATAGCTATCTTAGTCGCACGTATCGCGTTCTCTGTCTGGGCGTCGAACACCTCTAGAAATTTGATGAACTGTACTCTTGATGACAATAATTTAAACAGTAGAAAGTTCTTACTTTTATTAAGATTGATTATAGTAGCGTCTCTAGAAGTAGGATTCTTTATTACCAATTTTTGTCATCATATTAGAGAGGTTCCAGGTATTTTCCTACAATTCTAAGCTTAGCAGCCTAAATAGCACAAAGTCGTCTTAAAGACGACTAGCATAAGACATATAAGACGTCTTTAAGGCGTCTGGTATTTCCTGTAAGACGTCTGACGTTACAAAAGGCGACATCTTTAGGACGTCTTATTAATCTTATATTGGTCTGTAGAGCTTAAAATAAGTCATAAATAAGACTTTTTTAAGACGACTTATTAATAGCTTGTGAAGCCTTAAATAAGCCATAAACAAGACGTCTTATTAATGCCTTATAATGGTCTTGTGAAGCTTTAAATAAGCCACAAATAAGACGTCTTTAAGGAGACTTATTAATAGCTTATAATGGTCTTGTGAAGCCATAAATAAGACGTCTTTAAGATATCTTATTAATGACTTATAATGGTTGGGTTAAATAAGGGTTAAATAAACCATAAATACAAACACAAATTCACAAAATGGATCAAAGACCTTTGGCTTTTGGCGGCTATAATCGCGTACGCAATAAAATAAAACCCCCTCATGCGTACGCTCGAAAACAGACGGATTATTCTATTTTTTCCAAGTTCGAAGTCGAAAAAATCGATTTTTTTCTAGTTCTAAATCGGAATAATCTATTTTTCGGTGTTCTAGGTCAGAAAAATCTACTTTTCCTTGTTATAGATCAGAAAAATCGACTTCGAAGTCACACAGCTCCATCTTTACGAGTTCTAAGGTGAAATGTTCTATTTTTTACAAGTATGAAGACGTAAAATAACGATTTTTCCGAGTTCTATGTCGGACAAATCAAGTTTTCCGAGTTCTAAGTCACAAAACTCTATCTTTATGAATTCTAAAGAGGTTTTATAATTTCTAAGGCGGAATAATTTACTGTTTTCCAAGTTCAAAGTCAGAATAATATTTTTTCCGAGTTACAAGTAATCAAAATCGATTTTTTTTAAATTCCAAGTCGAAATAATCAAATTTTCCTACTCCTAAGTCACAAAACTCTTCTTTACTAGTTCTAGGGCGGCATTCTATATTTTTTCTAAGTTGGAATAATCAAATTTTCCTACTTCTAAATCACAAAATTCTATCTTTACGAGTCCTAAAGCGACATAATAAAAAGTCGGAAAAATCGATTTTTTTTGGGTTCTAAGTTGGAATAATCAATTTTTCCGGGTTTTAAATTAAAAAACTCCATCTTTACGAGTTCGAAGGTGGGTTTGCGAGTTCCAACGCGGATTAACTCACTTTTTTCGAGTTCTAAGTCGGAATAATCAATTGTTCCGAGTTTTAAGTCACAAAACTCCATCTTTACGACTTTTAAGGCAGCTTTTCGATTTCTAAAGTAGAATAGTTCACTTTTTTCCAAGTTTTAAAACGAAATAATCTATTTTTTTGAGTTCTAAGCCAGAAAAATCAATTTTTTCCAGTTCTAAGCCGAAAAATAAAAAAAAATAGATATTTTGTGGCCCTTCTACACTTCCTACCTATTATACCTATTCCTGACACAAGCGTTTCCTTAAAACGTGACCCATTTTCCCATAGAAAAGCCCCTCATGCGTACAGCTCGAAAATAGACGGATAATCAGCCGATTTAAACAACCTGGAAGTGGGATGTAAAATCATCTTTTCAAACCGTTCTATTTTTAGTACAGTGTAAGAGCAACGTTTGACACCAAGACAGATAAATATCAATTGCAAAATGTAAACTGCAAACGAATTTCGTTGCATACTATAAATAAAACCGACTGCATTTTATTATAAATATTGTAAAAGGCGAAATTTGGATCTCTGACAAAAAATTTCGCGTAGAAAGAAATGTCGGAAGATTCGAAATGTGAAGTGTGCCAAAACCCGGCGGAACATCGATGTGGAAGTTGCCACGATGCTCATTATTGTTGCAAGGAACACCAGAAAATCGATTGGAAAAACCACAAGCGCAATTGTCGACCATTTAAGGTACTATAAAATACAGTATTACAACCCTAACCTCTAAATTATACCGGGCAACGTGGCCTAAAGCAGGTGAATTAATAAAATAATTATGTCACAGGCGGGGCTTGGGAGTTATTTTTAAAACAATGATGCACTTCATGCGTAATAAACATTTTATGTTCCTTTTTTTGCGAAATGAGATAATGGAGATTTTGATTTACAGAAAAGCAGATGGGACTGATTTGTATTTTGTAGCACTTAACCTCAAAATTTTGTTACGGTATTCGAGCGAGATAGAATAATATATCGTCTGGTTATATTTTTATCAATTTAGATTATACAGGGTATCCGGAAATTATAAGCAAATATTTTACTACGACAAAAAAATTCATTAAAACTATACTTTTTGATTTAATACCATAAATTTTAAGAACCTCCCATCCATCCATCCATTTATGGTTTTTACTCTTTATTTTTTAATGTTTGTTTCGTTTTCCTTGGGATGTAGGTGTTTCTTTTATTATAAATTAAACTTTTTATAAATACACCTATATTAGTCTAAGAGACCGTGGTAGGTCGACCTTCACTCATTTGATAACCAGATGAGGCAAATTTCTTAGGAAATTTTATTGATTTATTAACATGGCTATTTTTAATTAAATAAATTTTAATCAATTTTTTTTAAAACCTTCATTTTCTGATAACCGTACTAATTTAATTTTAACACAGAGAATATGCCTCGGTAGGCTTGTTTACTTATTTCTGTTCATGGCTACCTGACAGCAGGTATGAACAGGTAAGTCAATATAGGTAACTACACCGATATGTCAACCAATAAAAATTGATATCAAAAGAGAGATAATTTAATTACAAAAATAATCGTATAGGCTTGCCAGCAAAAAACTATTCATAAAATACTAATGCCATGCTTTAAAGTTATAAATTCGAAGAAATTACATATGTGCGAGAGAGAAAGTAAAACGTGCGAAGTCCGTGTGATAGAACACAACATAGCAGCTGCGCGCAATATGTCCGCTGAATGTAACTCAATGCGCATGCACTTTTACATGCATTTGACAGGGATAGTGCTTATTTGTTGAACATTATTTAGTATAATCAATGGAAAAGAGTGAACATGGATTTTTCAATGGGAAGATGGAACATTCCATACGTTCTTTAATGAATATTCCCGTAATATATAAGCTAAATTACCTGCTCTGGCTAAATACCTTAAGGGTGGAGGCCAAAAAACTAACAGAAGAAGAAGAGAACATTATTTACCTGTTCATACCTGCTTGCTAAGTAGCCATGAACAGAAATAAGTAAACAAGCCTACTGAGGCATATTTTTCATGTTAAGAACTATATGTTAAAATTAAATTGGTTCGGTTATCAAAAAAGTAAAGGTTATAAAAAAAATTGAATAAAATTTATTTAATTAAAAATAGCCATGAACATGCCTATGGCAAGTTCTCATAGGCGTGGTAATAAATTAATAAAATGTTATAAAAAAACATGCCTCATTTGGTTATCAGATGGGTGAAGGTCGACCTCCCACAGTCTCTACTATACAGGGTGTCTGTAAAAGGTCTTTACAAAAACATACCACATATTCCTTAGACCAAAATAAGTCGATTTAAGTAAAATTACCTTAGTACAAAGTTGCTTCGTTTGGGATCCAGAGGGCCTTGAAGTTACAATTTTTAAATCGTTTTTCCCATATAAATTTAAAACGGCATATGCGATTTTGCTGAAATTTGGTATATTGGTAGAGTTTTATGTGGCAAAAAAATGGTATTAAAATTTTGTCCGATAATAATACATAGGCGTAGAACTTGATTTTTTAAATAATTGCACCTTTAAAAATTCTACGCCAATGGAAGAAAAGGAGTTTGAGTATGAAATTTAGATTGCGCAACTCATTTACTTTAAAAAAGGTGTTTTTGATAAAACTCGATTACTCTCATGGTTTTCGTTAAATTTCTGTTTTAATAATTTAGAGTGTATAGGTTTCACAAAAATATTTATTTACAACATAATCGAAATAGAGATTTTACAAAAATTGTTCAAAATGTTCACCATTTTCATGCATACAAAGATTTATACGTCGAAGAAAATTAAAATATATCCTTTCCATAACTTCTTTATTACCTCTAAGATTGTTTATTGCATCTTGAATACGTTGCCAGAGTTGTTCCTCATTTTCTACAGGTTCCCTGTAAACTGTGGATTTCAGATGTCCCCATAAAAAGTAATTCATCGGTGTTAGGTCTGGGGAACGTGGTGGCCAGTTTACAGGTGCGTCATTACCTCTGCCTATCCATTTGTGTGGATATTGTTCATTCAAATGGTTTCTAACGTTTAAATATATATGGGGTGGAGCTCCATCTTGCATAAACCACATATCTCTCCGAAGTTGGAGAGGTAAATCTTCTAACAATTCTGGCAACGTATTTTGTAGAAAATCCAAATCATTTTCTCGAGTTAATCTTCGTGGAAGTATGACAGGACCAACAATGAAATTACCAATTATTCCAGCCCACACATTAATTTTGAATTCGTGCTGAAAATGGTTTACCTTTATTGCATGCGGATTTTAAACGGCATAAACATGTTCATTATGGGTATTAGTTATACCTCTTCTTGTAAAACCCGCTTCATCGGTAAAGAGAACCTTCTTGACAAAGTTTGGATCTCTTTCTCTTTGCATATTAACAAATCGACAAAAACCCAAACGAATTTGAGGATCATGGACTAATAATTCTTGTACTGGCTTCTTATGGTATGGATATAGCAATTGTTCTCTAAGCACTTTATGAACGACATCATTACTTACTCCTAGTTCCCTTCCAATTCGTCTGGTGCTTAATTCTGGATCTTCTTCAACACGTTATAAAATGTCTTCTTCAACTTCAGGAATCCTTACAAAACGTTCTCTTCCATTATCAACAGTGTTGGGAGCAAAGGAACCGGTCTCCCGAAGACGTCTCTCAATAGCAGCAAAAGTTGGGTGGCTAGGTACACGACGATTTGGAAACCTTTCAGAGTACACCATGGCACTCTCGAGCATTTCCTTCACAAAATCCTAATGTCAGTAACATATCGGTATATTCTGCATTGGTATATTGCATAGCCATATTAATAAATCACGCATTTGTTTTTTTAATTATTGAGTCAGATAGAACACTTTCAATCGTTAACAAGAGATTAGGTGTTAAAACTTGACAATATTTTTATTTAGATGAAACTATGGAAACCAACAATAAATGTTTTTGTATACGTATTGCAGGCAAATAATAACTCTCTTAGTTTTTTTTTTGAGTACACCTATTGCTTTCAATAGGTACAGTTGCTATCAAGAGCTTAGAGGTTTTTTGATAGATTTAGTTGTCAGTTGTCAAAACAAATATTGTAATTTTCTATAAGGTCCTTTTCGCCAGCGTAAGTAAACCCCAATAAAGCAAGGGTCATCGGCCGATGCCCAAGCCCGACAGGGCACCCAATTCGCCATCCTGTGGCTTTGAAACCACTTATACTAAAAGACTCAAAATTAGATGCAGACCGAACTATGAGGAAATAGCCAGAATAGCAAAGATTAACAACACTAACGCATTCAAGGCAAAGCTGAAAATTAACCCGATTTCAAACGTGAGTACAAGCAACATACCACTAATTTACTCTAACACTGGGATCAGCTGCTCAGAACAAGGGGAACCCCTGTCAAAAAATATTTCAAAACGACCTTCAGATGACCTCAAAGTAACAGAAAATCAGGCAAATATAAACGTAATCCACGTAGCAACAGTGGAGCCGGTAACGGCCACGCAAACAGAGGTAACTTTGAACGCAAATAAAGATAGCGAAGGGGAAAAAAGTGAAGAACAATACTACAGCTCTGTAGACAGTAACGACGGGGATTTACCCCAAAACTCGGATGTAGACATGGAGGAAAATACCTCAGATAAAGATCCGGATAAAAAATCCAATACCTCATCATCCGAGGAAACCCCCCCCACTCCAGAAAAAGAAAATATCCCAAACCCCACCCCCTATGATGATTTCACATCAGCATACGTCTCCATACCGTCCGCGGAAGGGCTAAAAATAACTATAATGAACAGCGATGTTCCATCAGCTCTTAGGCAAAATATCATGGGGTATAAAGAAACAAGTGGGCCCGAACTATCAGGGGATGAACGCCAAATACCAGTTCTCAACCAAAAGGTCATACAGCCAATTATGCACGAACTTCCGGAACAACCAAGAGAACTAACACTATCAGACGGCAGAACACAGCCTAAGGAACCGATAAGGGTGCAAAAACCCCCAAAACCACCCGTGACGGTGACCGAACCGACAATTAAAAACGTAATAACAAAGAAACAGCCAAAAGAGGCCGAAAAAGCAGTTAAAGAGACTGAGATACAGCTACCGCCACAAGACGAAGAAGAAAAAACATCCCCTAATAGTACATTTACTCTGCACAGAACCAAAAGAAGCAGAAGGGATAATGGTGATGTAGACAAAATAGAAGTAAATAATGATACGCCCATGGACGTCGAAAATGACACCCCTCCAAAGATAAGTACTAATCTACGGAAAATCTTCAAACAAAAGGTCATAGCAACAATGCCTAAGCCAATCACACTAAAAAACAGATACCACGTCCTAACAGACGAATCAGATGACGAAGAATCGGATGAACAAATCGAGAAACGTAGACAGGAAGCCAGGAAAGAAAGAAGGGGTAGTAAAAAGGTCACAGTAGAGACTGCCAAAGAGGCGGACAACAAAAAAGAAGGGATTCAAAACAAAAAGAAGCCCACAATGCCACCCATAGTACTTGACGGCGTCCCAGAAGACCACAAAGGGCTAACTGGAGTACTCAGGGAACTAATAAAAGGAAAGTTCAACGTAAAATATACCAACTCATCTACGATAGTCTTCACAGAAGAAAAATCAGACTATGATAGTGTCCTGGCAAACGTCAAAAGGGAAGAAATGGCGTATCATACTTATACCAGT